GTAATGAAAGCGTTGTCCTCTGGCAGAGACACGACAGCAGAACAAGCAGTCCAGTGCCAGCATCCATGTTGGGCACAGCTGCTCTAATGAACTCCTGCCAATGCTGTCTTCACGCCACAGGGATCCAGCTGAAATGACAACACAAGTGCACATGGAACTAGTCCGTTTACAGTACAAGGATGCCAACAGATGCTTATGTCCCCTGCGCCTCTAGATCAGGGGTGGGCAAACTCTGCACTCCAACTGTGGTGGAACTGTAAATCCCAGCATGCCTCTGCCTTTGGGAGTCATGCCTGTGGCTGTGAGTCTTGCAATGCCTCATGGGACTTGTAGTTTCACAGCAGCTGGAGTGCCGAGGTTGCCCACCCCGGTTCTAGATACATCATATTAGGTCCTTTGTTTTCCGAGGCAGAGAAAACAGCAGTTCTAATGACAGAGTGAGCGTACCACCTCCAAGTATTTGTTACCTCTCCCAGGGATCATAGTACTGCCCTGACAATGCCCTCATCTGCTTTTCTCATCAGAAGGGCATTGTCCAGGATCAGCATCTATACCTGTATCCTGAACCTGGATGCTGGCTCAGAAATACAACATCCCTGAATATCTTGGTGCTCGCAAATGTCTGAGGGCTTGTTCACACCAAGCGCAGAGCAGTTACAGAACGCATTAAAACTGCGCCCAATGTATTCCAATGGTATTTTGGGCTCTAGTTCACACCCAGAGCGTTCATTTCCAGAGCATGTAAAAAAACTGCATCATGCCCGATTTTTTCTACTCTGGAAGGCACCAAAAAGCATACAAACGCCCTGGAACGCACTGAAAGCCCATTTTAGACTAAAACAAATATATATATATATATATATATTTATAAACAGCCAGGAACACAGCAAAACACACTACAGGCCACTAACTCTCCGAGAATCGTACGATTCCCGGCGAGTTTTCTAGCATGCTGGTTCGATGGAAGGCATGCGACCGTACAGTAGAAATGGTTGCATGCCTTCCATACACTGCACGATTCTCGTACGATTGCGGGATTTCCCACGATTCTCGTACGAGAATCGTGCAGTGTATGGGCACCCTAACAAAGATCATCCCCTGTGGCAGTCTCTCACCTTGTGACCTGCTACAGAGTTCTGAATGTTGCAGTCTGTAGAATGAGGAAAAGCTTCATCCCTCTTATTTTAGGACTGCTTTTTGTCGTCATTTTGCATGTTGTGACCTGACAGAAATGTATCCATGCAGTCCTGTAAAGTTACTGAAAGGTCCACCTTGATATCACACATGTCATGGTTTTATGGGTGCCACAATTTCCATTAGGTGATGGGGTGGGGTTTGTAGAGAAGGTGCTTATTTTACTATTAGTCATACATAATAATCAAATTCCCCATTCCTTGGCCTTATGAAGAGATATTTTGTATGCTTTAAGAGTATGTCAGAGCAAAATAAAACTTTTGCCTGCTCAGCCCCAATGCTAGACAAGGCAATTCAGACCCAGTGAGCTCCTGATTAAGTGGGATTTGTGTTTGCACTAAAATCCTTAGCAGTATCGGCCCTACCGAATAACCTGAACAAACTGAAGAGAGAAGCTGATTGGTTGCCCTGGGCAACTGCTCCAGATTTTGTCTGCTCCACTTTTGATCAATTCCCCTGTATGAGTCACTTATTACAAATGCCTGCAAGATTGGCTGCCCACTGGATGGTGCCGTTTATACTGATCCGGTTCTGGAATGGTTTCAGATGGTCTGAAGATGTCGTGTGAACTATTAGGAAGACTCGCAAATCTTCAAATCCTACACGGCTACTCTAATCCTTTTTGGTCTGCGCATTAGATGGACCTCTCAAGGACATTCCTTTTCTGTAGCTGAGAAGTCAAGTGCTGCCTTTTCCTTTTACTTAGGAAGACTCTCCAGCTGAAGTGTGAATATTTTCCCAGTCCCAGATGGTGGGCAGACTGGGACACATTTTCCTGTGTTCCATGCTGGTCTTATCTTACTGCCAGACTTTGCCAACATGTGTCTTCTGCCTCCAGTGCTTTATTGGACTTTATAAGTTTCACAATTTAATGTGTATTTTCACTTTCGCAGGCACATTGGGATCACACCTCTTTTATATTAGTTACATGTCCCCGTTCACATACAGTACTTGGGTTAAGGATTAGTGTTAAAATCTCTTTCTTTGTAATGTTAGGAAGGGCTGTGAGGGGTTAACAGATTACAACTCTGGCATCTGCATTGTACAGTATGTTAATGTGAGAAACACAATCCCCAAATTTCAGTCCCAAGTCTTTCTATTAGGACAGATCACTGTGAAGGTGCTGAGTAAAACCTGGAATCAGCCATGTTGCCTGCTGCAATAAAACATCGAAAGTATTTTTGTTTTTTTGGTATGTCGTGTGAATAGGAACACATAACAAACACAAGGAGCAGTTTTCTCACATTTGACTGCAAAAGTAGAAATACACTTTAATGTTCAAAGTTGATTTAGATTTTGCTACCTGTTGCTTGGTAGGGCAGATAAAGCCTTTTAGGAATTCCTATCTATATCAGAGATGATGTAACCGGATTTCCCTTGTAACCACAGTAAGTGCTTTGAAGCAGAATTAGAAGGCCAGGATTAAGCCTCTACCCTGGTTGTTGCAGACAGCCATTGGTTCCAGCACCAATGCCTGCTAGAACTGGGTGACACTGTAAAATGAAGCAGTAACAGAACAACTACAGTAGCTCTGATTTAGAACTAAAGTGGCCCTTGTCCTTTGCCCATGCAGAGAAAAATAAAAGGGTCACCACCCTAGTAGTATAAATTCAACTTTACTGTCTTCATGCTTCTCAATTCAGCTGCCGCGATGGGGAAAGAAAGCCCTGTTTAAGCATCAAACCAACATGTTAGAGCTTATGGCTCTGTAGACTCACTGACCCTTCCCCAATAAGGAGGCACCAGTGCTGTCACATAAGAGGGGTGGGAATGAATCACATTCTATTATCTGGACCTGCTGAGTATTTAACTTTTTACAGCCTTATCGGAAAGTGGAATGGTGAGGAAGCAAAGTAAAGGTAAGTATGTGCTGGTGTCAAGCAACCCTTTTCATTTTCCCCACATGGGCTAACGTAAGGGTCACTATGAGGAGGTACCATACTATGTTTCTGCAAATGGATTACAACTGTGGCTGCTTTCACCTGACCAACTCTAGAACTACCAGTGAACCTGACATCAATCTAAGCTTGTAGAATTGACATTCTGAGCTCGGTCAAACCCCGCTCAGTATCATGCAGAGCAGACATTGTAGCAAATATTGGAGGTTAACCTTGTAGAAAAGTATGTGTCGGCATCTTCTGTCCCAGTAGGGATGCACCGAACCCGATAATAGTATCGGTATTGATGTCGATACCGAGTATTTGGGCAAGTACTTGTACCCGCCCAAATGCTCCTATACCTCCCCCTGATATTGAAACTTCTGGTCTGAGGGAGGTTTCCTTCGACCTGCAGTACGGTGAGGTACCTGGCCAATCAGGAAGCTGGGCGGCGGGTAATGATTTGGCGCCCAGCTTTCTGATTGGCCGGGAAGCCGGCTCCATGCTGTTTGGATTGGTATCGGTGAGTACCGAAAGAAAAATATCGGTACTCGCACTCAATACCGAAAAACCGTTATCAGTGCATCCCTACCCTTAAGTGTCGTCTTGACAGTTTTCGGTTCATGCCTGACTCACTTTAAAGTAATCCTTGCTTCATAGTTTGCTATAGTGCCCCCTCATTAGAAGAACATTCATTCAAGCCCTAGAGTGAAGAAACTAGCCCGTACTTCTGGAGGAGCATGTGACTCACTTGGAGCGGAGCACAGAGAACGGAGCTGTGGTAAAGCAGTTAAAGTGACACTAAACTCAGGAGGTAAATCTGAAAACTGCATTCAAGTACCTTAACTATGAACAATTTATTTGTGTATCTCTCGGCTGTAGATCCTCAAATCATCTCTGAATTGGTTCAGGTTTAGTGTCACTTGAAGTATGTATTACTGGGGAGAGCTGATGCATGGACACACCAGAGGTTCATACCTAATACAAAGCCTAACTAGGTGTAGACTAATAAATAATACAATCTGTGCAAGTCACATTGCTAGTAAATGGCCAAGTCATTTCCCGCCCATTCCTCAATTGTTTAACAGTACACAAAAGATTGGACTATGTATACCATATTTTATTATTCCGTAAATTTGTGCTAGTCAATGAATGATTAATGAACTGAACTTCTGCACTGCTCAACTGCAGTCTTCCAAGATGACAAATAGGACTTTGGGTTTTTTGGAAGATAAATCAATTATTAATGATTATAGTTATTTCAGAAATCTGAAATACTATGGGAGATTTATGGCTGTGACCTCAGAGCTTTATTACACCATGACTTATGTTTATGCCAAAAGAAGAAATGTGCTTTGTTCTTCACTGAATACATATCTCGTATCTAGTAATGTTATTCATTAGAGCACTTCAAAGCAATTAAGTTTATGCGTGTATATGTGTAGATTTTTTTTTATATATGTATATATATCTACACACACACACAGTATCTCACAGAAGTGAGTGCACCCCTCACATTTTTCTAACTATTTTTTTATATCATTTCATGTGACGACACAGAAGAAATTACACTTTGCTACAATGTAAAGTAGTGAGTATACAGCTTGTATATCAGTGTACATTTGCTGTCCCCTCAAAATAACCCAACACACAGCCATTAATGTCTAAACCGCTGGCAACAAAAGTGAGTACACTCCTAAGTGAAAATGTCCAAATTGGGCCCAATTAGCCATTTTCCCTCCCCGGTGTCATGTGACCCGTTAGTGTTACAATGTCTCATGTGTGAATGGGGAGCAGGTGTGTTAAATTTGGTGTATGGGGTGTACTCACTTTGGTTGCCAGTGGTTTAGACATTAACGACTGTGTGTTAAGTTATTTTGAGGGGACAGCAAATGTACTCTGATATACAAGCATTTGCTGATTTCACAGGGATCCATTCCGTGCACACCAAGAACATGTCAGACAGATGATGAGAAGCTTCTCTGATCCCTTTGGCCGGGATTCCTTCTTCAGTATCACAGATGGCAGATCTCATGGCCGCAGAGGGCAGAACTCTTCCCAGGTGGCTCTGAGGGAAGATCACAGGGTAAGCAGTTCCTCATATCACAGTGCTGTCATCAGCTTAGATTATATCGCTAGATTCATTTCAAAGACCTGATTGTTAGCTTAGGTGCACAGTGCCGGCACTGTAATGCCAACCCTTAACTGCCCCGTATTGCTCTTCTTCTTCTCTTTCCTGGTGATTTAATCCACAGCTGTTTTCACCCTGTCCTATTCCTATAATAGTTTAACATGTGTTAATTCTCCTCTATTAACTGTTTTAGCTACCTAGCAGGCACATAATTACAGTTACAGACACTGATGTACAAGTTTAGCACTGTTGAGCCTGTTGGACAGATGTCAGTTCCTATACTCCTGGCTGTGTAACTGATAAAAGCAAGCCTGGCATTCTTCCATCTGCTATATATAGTGTGCCAATACCCTTTGCTGAAAGCAACTTTCTGGATGTTTTTCCTGGAAAAAATGTTAGGAAAACATCACAGGCAGCATGGGTACGTTTGGAAAGGAGCAGGTTAATTTAGGGGGTGGTACTCTATCAATCACATTGAATTTAAGACGGCAAGAATAAAGACATGGCAAGGGTCAATGGCGCTCTGCCAGCCACTGGCACTGTAATCTGAACTTAAATATCTGTAGCTCAATATATTGGCTTTAGAGAAAGCAGTCATCTGCAGGTCAAAAGGAAGCTGCCAAATATATTCCTATCACGGCAACTTAAACTGAAACAAGTGTGTGTGTGTGTGTGTGTGTATGTATGTATGTATGTATATATGTGTGTATGTATATGTGTGTGTGTGTGTATATATATATATATATATATGTATGTAATATATATATATCTATCGATCATAAACAAATAAATCATATATGAGCAATAAATTGCAGTATTTGTAGGAACAGTAGGAAGCAGAATGAAGCTGTCTTAAAACAGAAGGTATCAAGGGGGTTAAGATAGGCAAACTGTCCATAAATTAAGCAATCTGATATGGATAACAGAGGTACATTTTGACCGGGGCCTGTAATTAAGTATTAATTTATTCAAGACGGATAAGTAAAATGTATACATCTGTATATGAGGTCTACCAGGAGATATATTGCTACAGTGACCATTTAGAGGGGCTTTAATAAGGCTGCACAGTGGTTATTGTGCAATATGCTAGAAGTTTATATCTGTTTAGAGCAGCTAGAACAATCAAAGATGGTTAGACTGCATCTGACACATGAAATTCTGCTTTTCAAATACAAATGTATATATATGTGTCCCTTCTGAATCTATAATTGTGTCGTTTCCTCAGTAGAGATATGATGCAGAATTAAACATGATAGCCATAAAGTAGGCTTATTTATCCATCCACCTCTTTTCTTACAGTGGACTGAGTGAAATTATGAATATCTTGCCCTTTATATTCATAAATGGCTAAACAAAATAGATGCTAGTCTTGTAGAAAATGCTTTTATGGCCACCTAGAGCAGCTGTTTTTTGACCAAATGCTACATAGCCTCATCTGAATGAAAGGATCAGACATCGGGCTGGTCAGAATCCATCTCTGAATGAAAGGTGAAGGATGGTCGGGCTGAGGGTAGAGGTGATGGCTTATATACCAATGGTCCACACTCCAACATAACACGGAGTTCTCTCGTCCTACATCCTGGCTTGTCATTTAAATAGGTACATTGTATATGCAGATGAGGGATTTTGACTTGTAAAGCTTCTTTAATACACAGTTTTGTTTTTTATTTAATACATTTAATTTTCATGTAATATAGGCATTTCAGAAAGAACACCATCCTTAAAGCAAACCTGTGCTTTGTCCATGATGGCCTTTAATACATCCCTTCCCAGCAACACATACTCACCTTTTCTTTACTCCCACACTGCTCCTTCAGTGATCTGGAAATAGGAAAAACACAGCATTTCCAGGTATGGAGGAGCTCATGACTTGTCACTTCGTGTGTCAGAGCTGGTGCTTGGTGATGGGCCCGTCGCTGTCACATGCCGTGGGCTCACCCCTGTGTCTGGTAGTTTTGGAAGGGTTGGCAGAAGGAACCACCTAGCAGAGCAGAAAGAAGACTGACACTCTGGCAAGTGTCTGTTTAGAAGAAAAGACAGGTGATTCCCTGTGAAGGTGGCAATTCCCTTTCACTAGAGTGGTGTTCAGTGGCACAGGCGGCTGGATTGGTAAGTTTAAAGGGATGTAGGCTAGGTGACTTTTATTTTTGCAGCAGAGTCACTTTAATATACCTGCACCCAGAATATTTCCATTGTCATATCATACATTTAAAACATCAGCATCATTCAAAATGATTGACTTCCATTGATCCTTTTCTTGCAGGCATCGAGTCTCAGCGACATGCCTAGTGCCTCATTTTCTAGTATGGTCAGTACTTTGGGTCTGTGTTTGTGTGATTTGGAAGCATGGCATTTTTGGCTCTAACCATAAAGCAGAGTTTGTTTTATACCCTGGCCTTTATTCAAAGCTGTTTGACATTAATACTGAATGTTGGCATGCTGTATTAGATATATTAATATGACTTAAGATGGTTAATATAATGTGTTCTTTTGGGTGGCTCATATGGTATAAATGCGCATTCATTAGTAGACATAAATGCAAATATAAAATATAAAGTAAAATATTATTCAAGTCCGTTGACAGGGGAAGCAAGGCTCTCCAATCGTTCCTCCGATGTCTGTAGGCAAGTTTACAGATGTCCATAGAGACCAAGTTCTGAACTGATTCAGCCAAAATCTTTAGGGCCGGGCAATTTATTTTATCATAGGAAGCAATAGTGCTGCAGTACGGAGGTGTCTGCAAGTACCTCTGTTAGTCTCCACATGATCCCCAAGTGTCCTTTGGATCCGAGACCCAGCCTAGGTCTGACAGCTATGAGCGCGCACCTGTGCAGCTGTCAAATGAATCCATCAACATTCTCTCAGCATGAGACAGATTGACAGGAATGGATTTGCAGGCTAGACTAGCACTGTTGTTGTCTTTATACACTTTCATTCTGGACAAGTTTTCTTTAAAGCACTACTGAATGACCACAGATGCTGACACCCAAAACTCAAAAAAACTGAACCTTATATGCAGTGACAAGTGGATTGTGAGTATAGCCTTCTGTATATAGTAGTCCCAAATGATACAGATAATGAAAAGACGCAATAAAACAATGTTTGTGGAGATCTAAACTGTCTTATGTATAATTAAACAAATAAGTACTGATGCTTATTAAACTGCATATGGACCTGTGAGGTGACAGCAATAGTACTTCTCAGTAACTTCTGTCTTCCTTTGGGTGATAGTTTTATGTAAAAGCCAACTCAAGTTACAAGTGGCTGTTGTTGCTGAGTACACTTCCATGTAAAATGGAGATAATGTGTACACTGTGTAGAATACTGCGAAGTACCCATACACACATAGCTGCACTCCAATTAGATATTTAAAAACACTGAAATCTATAACGCAACCTGAGAGATCTGCGTTACCATGTTAATTAAGGAAAATTCTCACAGCCTATTTTTTCATTGGTGTCCGGTGTCCTTCCAGTATGTCTTCTCATGCTTCAGTTATATATGTCTGACCTGCCAGCAGACAAGGATGACTGACCCTTCATATAGTAAAACAAATTCTTCACTCACTTGAGCTAGCATGCCATTTTCTGTCTGTTATCACTACTTCTATATACAGGATTATAGAAGACATACATAAATATAGGATAGCATTATTTAGATCAGTGTCTTACAAACTCTTGGATCTAGGTTGTAGATGTGCCTAATATTTTTCAGTTGTCAGTAAAAGCATGTGTCCTGGCTTTATACAAGTCCTGGTTGGCTTCTATGTTGGAGGGACTGGATCATAATTACAACATTCATTTGTCCATGACTGACTTAGTTGTGTTACAGAGCTCTTCAGCAGCATGTGAAAAATTTTTTTTAGTATTGTCAGACTGTATGTTCCCCTTCCCCACTCTTCTTGTCTGTTAAATGAAGAACTTTGTGCACTTTTATGGAACAAAAACTTCCTGAAATTATGTGTAAACTGCACTAGTCCTATTAAAGTGTAGTGTGTGTGTATACATATGTATGTATGTATGTGTATATATATATATATATATGTATATGTATACAGCAATCAGCCATAACGTTATGACTACCTGCCTAAAATTGAATAGGTCCCCATTTTGCAGCCAAATCAGCCCTGACCCGTCAAAGCATGGACTCCACTAGACCTCTGAAGGTATGCTGTGGTGTCTGGCACCAAGACGTCAGTAGCAGATCCTTTCAGTCCCATGAGTTTTTCCACATATGGAATATGGTTATTGGTTATTCCATATGGTTATTCCAACACATTCCACATATGCTCGGTTGGATTGAGATATGGAGAATTTGAAGGGCGAGTCAACACCTTAAACTCGTTGTTGTGTTCCTCAAACCATCCTTGAACCATTTTTGCAGTGTGGTACGGTGCATTATCCTGCTGAAATTGTCAGGATCCAAGGTTTCCCAGCAGAACATTGCCCAAAGCATCACACTGCCTCCGCTGGCTTGCCTTCTTCCCATAGTGCATCCCGGTACCATCTCTTGGCTACGTTCGGGTCTCACCAGGGCTACGTTTGGATCTCACCAGGGCTACGTTCGGGTCTCACCAGGGCTACGTTCAGATCTCACCAGGGCTACGTTCGGGTCTCACCAGGGCTACGTTCGGGTCTCACCAGGGCTACGTTCGGGTCTCACCAGGGCTATGTTTTGGGTCTCACCAGGGCTATGTTTTGGGTCTCACCAGGGCTATGTTTTGGGTCTCACCAGGGCTATGTTTTGGGTCTCACCAGGGCTGTCTTTGGGTCTCACCAGAGTTGCATGTAGATATCACCAAGGCTATGTTTGGGTCTTACCAAGGCTGCGTGTAGGTCTCTGCGGGTGGGTCCTCGGCTCTGCGGGTGGATGCAGGTCTCACCAAGGTTTAACGAGTGGGTGCCAGACTCGTGCCAGACTTAAGGGCTGTACGGGCGGGTGTGGGGCTGTCCAGTGGTATGCCAGTCTCTGTGGGTGCTGGGAAGGAGGAGATGTTGGCCATGCTGGCGCTGTCAAAGACAGCTGCCGCGAGGTCCCCAGCAAGTGCGGAACTTTAGGCAGCTGCTATTGTTTAATAAATTTAAAGGGCCAGTATTGGCCTCTAGGAACGGGGCATTTTCACGAGTACAAGTACTGTCGGGACATCCCTATTCATAATGTTATGGCTGATCAGTGTGTGTGTGTATATTTATATATATAAAGCTTAGCAGTTCCGTTTACTTCCTTTCAGTCTGTAAAATATACCATTGAAAGTGTTATGTTGTATCCGTTTGATAAGTGCAAAAATACCTGTTATTTCTGTCAGAACTCTACTGAACTGATAACTTCCGGTGCTCCCTGCCTGTACTGTTATCAGTATTGTTCCCAGTTGTCTGTGTGGACCACTACCCTTTGTTATGGGGAGGGGAGGTGTTCTGTAGCCCTGACACGTTTGGTGTCCCAGCGTGACAACGCTGCTCCTCTATAGATCTTGTTCATTCAATGAGCCATGTAATCCTAGGACAAGTGTGTTACTGAAGGCTTAAAAAAGCCAGGAAATCGTCTCAAGGGTCCAAAAAAACATTATTGGCTTCACAAATGACAAGAAGAAGATATGGACCACCAATGCGTTTCAGGGGCCAGAAATCCCCCTTCATAGGGCTTAATCAATGAATAACGGCACACTGATGAGCTCTAGCACACAATCCTATTTCTCGGGTAGTGAAAATCCTTGGTGTGAAAAGAGCAGTTCAGTGTTTGTACAAGATGGAAGTGTGTTACTGGCAGGATCACCAGGTAGTAAATAAAGGGAAACAAAGGCTGAGAAAACCAAATGCAGCCACAGCACATCTGAGGACGGGTACACTGCAATATACGACATTTGTGTCCTTGGGTTTACATACCCTTTAAATAAGAAATATTGCTTTGTGTTACGATTTTTGGTAAAGTGTAACAGCAGTGAAAGATCAATCAGATTGTAATGGAGATCACTAGAACAGATCAGTACAGTTATACATCTGATTGGTTGTTACCTTTGACCCTACAGGACACTTATAATTCTGGAGTTGTTGCCTTGTTTCCTTCACCCCTGTATTCAGTTACGAGGTCTATAATGTCAGATTGTTTCACCTTATTTGTTTCGCATACCAGAAGAACTCCAGGCAAGATTTGTATTAACCCTTGCAGTTGGGCTACCCCCGCACTGCAAGGGTTAAATGCTCATTTTGGCCTAGGGAGGAAAATAACAAAGTTATACTCACCCTAACCTCCGAGCCAGCTTGGACTTAGACCGCTCCTTCCAGTGTCTCTCCCCCTTCATTGCAGTGAGTCATCACGTTCTATACACTGTGTATAAGACTTGAGGACGCTGAGGGACATACCATCGCTGCAGCGGAGGGAGCACTGTCACAGCTGACCATCTCCGAAGATCAGCTGAGTACACATGCAAGGGTTAATAAAAAAATGTTGCCCGGAGTTCTTTAAAATGAATATTATGTGTGCCATGAACAGAATGAATGTGCCGTCTGATTTTCTGAATTGGATTTCTCTTTGCCTTCTTCGTTATTTTAGGCCCCCGAAGTGAAGGATTCTTTCCATTCGTTTGACAACATGATGGCCAACTTTAGAAACCGAATGATTGACATGCACAAGCAGTTTGTAAGTCCTTCACTTCTCTTCAGTGAATGGTATTCTGGAGCCAATGTACTATTCATTCAGTATCCATAAAGGTGTGAGAAGTGACGGGTGTCTCTGCAGCTTTGACTGCCACTGGTCACAGTTTTTGGTTTTGCCAAGATCTGATTGGCTGATATGTCTAGGTAGCGTTTCTAGGGTGGTGGTGTTCTGCATGATGATGTATAATTCTGATTCTCAGATCAGTCATATAAACGGAACTCGTACTACTTGTGTTACTCTGTAAGAAGAAATATACCATTTATTTTCTGTTGATAAAACACGGCGTGCCAGCTACGGAGGAATACGCATTCATTTGTCATTGGAGTTTAAAGCAGAACTCCGGGGACATTTTTTATTTACTCTTGCATTTGGGCTACCCCCGCACTGCAAGGGTTAAATGCTTGTTTTGGTCTAGGGACGAATATAAGTTATACTCACCTGATCCTTGGAGCTGGCTTGCTCTTAGACCGGTCCCTGGAGCCTCTCTTCCCCCTCTGCTGCAATGGACTAAGGTCCCTGAGTCATCACATTCTATACACAGTGTATAGGACATGGGGACGCCGACGCGACATACCATAGCTGCAGCGGAGGATGAGATAGGCCAGTGGGAACACTCTAACAGCCGGCTGGATCTGAGGATTGGGTGAGTGTATATTTTTTATTTTCCTCCCTCAACCAAATGAACACTTAACCCTTGCAGTGCAGGAAGTGTAGGAAATTGTACCCAAAGGGGATCACAGAAGAAAATTTAGGTTTTTACCTCTATCTCCTCTTCACTCAGTCACAACTAAAAACTTCTGGTCAGGGTGACAACTGCTCCCCATTTCTTGCCTTGTGGCGCAGGAAGTGCAGGAAAGGGGGCTCGATGGTCACAGTAACACATTTTAGGTTTTTATTTCTAACTCCTCCCTACTCTATACAAAATTAAAATCTCTACAACTAGGGATGCACCGATACCGGTATTTTGGTACCGAGTACGAGTACCGATAATTTTTTTCCCGGTACTCGCCGATACCAATTACCGAGTAACGAGTAGTCTCATTCAGGAAGCCAGGTGGCATGCAATGACTAGCCACCCGGCTTCCCGATTAACAAGAAAGTCTGTCCCCTCTTACCTTGTCTAGCCTGTCACCCCCGGGGCCTCTCCAGCCAGAACGTGGCCTTCCTCCGGTACCCAGCTGGAGCCGTCTGGCTGGCCAATCAGGAAGCCGGGCACCGTGTAATAAGGCGATACCCTGCTTTCTGATTGGCCATGAAGCTGGCTTCATGCTCCCTCGTCATCTCATGATGCCAATCAGAATGCCGGGCGGTGCGTCATTACACGGCGCCTAGCTTCCTGATTGATGTAATGACACGCTGCCCGGCTTCCTGATACAGGAAGTACTTGTGCTACGCATCGGAGCATTTGGGCGAGTACGAGTAGTCGCCCAAATACTCGGTAACGCCACCGATATCGATACTAGTATCGGTGCATCCCTATCCAAAACCTCTGGTCTCAGTGACAACTGCTCCCCATTTTTTGCCTGGTGTCACAGGGACAGGTAGCAAAGTAAAATGTACCCAATGGGATCACAGAAACAAATTTAGGTTTTTATTTCTAACTCCTCCCCACTCTATCTAAAACTAAAGCAAGAAGCAATGAATGTGTCTGGAGTTAGGCTTTAGTGTTTAGCTGAATGGCAATGGAATGAACCTGTATTATTGATATTGCATTTCCTCCCCCTACACAAACCCCTGTTCCCTGTGAGTGGACAGCAGCTCCATTCACTGCCCCTGCCAGTGATGAACATAATCTTTTCAAGCCCCTGGAATCCTCTGTGTATGCCAAAGGTCTGTTTAGCCTTTCCAAGAAAATGCCGGGTCTATAGTTCCATTTGATTTAATGGCTCATTTTTATACTTCAGTGTGTATCCCTATTAATAACATTTCTCTTCACATACAGCCCATTGTAGCTTTCGGCCATGTTTGGTCATAGTACAGGGCCGGGCGAGGTGCCTATGTGTACTGCGGATCAGCCAAGTCTATATATGAGTGACTCATACTTTAATGTAGTAACATTATCTCCTTCCTAAGGCCACATCTCCAGCGTTCAGAAAAGAAAATTCCTCATCTTCCCTCGCACATCAGACACTCTAGCTGTGGGATCATTAGACTGTAATCGTGCTTTCTGCTCTCCAGCTCGCATTCGCTCTTCCAAAAACATAGACACACTAGTAACAGAAGAACCAGCATATATTAAGCTGCGCCTCTCCCCGTGACCGCCGCACTTCTCATATTGCTGGATGGGTCTGGACACATGCTGTACTATCAAAACAACCCTCTACTCTGAGGATAGCACTGTTTTTTTATTTGTGCTTCTTTAATGTTTTATTCTGAAATGTTATGATGTTGGCAGATTTCATATGTATCCAGTAAAGAGCAGAATGTGAATATGTCATATGACCGTGTATTGTTGTGTATGACATATGTGTGCCTAAGGCCCCTCTCACACGGGCGCTGTCCTTTCCGATCAGCAGGGAATGCGTGCACACATCACATAGTGAATGGAGCAGAACGGAACTCTGGTGACATCTTTGTCCATTCTGTTTTTACATCCATGTTGTGGTGGAGGTAAAAACTGAGGTGCGCAGACCCATGTTAGGTCTATGGGGAGTCGTATGTGTCCCTTTACATTAGATTACCTCCGATCCGTCGTGGTCAGGTCTGCCAAAATGGAACTCTATTCCATTTTTTAAACAGATTCAGGGGAATTGGAAGTAACGTCTGTTTAGATCTAGCTGATCATATAATATCAATGAAAGAAGCGGGCATAAACTCCAGGCAAACTTTTGCTCAACCCTTGCAGTGCGGCTACTTTAGCACCGCAAGGGTTAAAGTGACATTAAACCCTCAGATTTTTTAACATAAACCAATACTGTAATGTGCGCCTTACTGTAATCCATGGTTGTTTCCCTTCTCTTTGCTGCTCTTCCTTTTAAATCCTCATGTCTTCTCATGCTTGGGGAGAACTTCCCTTTGCAGCTGAGTGTCTCTTCCTGTAGTGCTGGCTCAGGTTACAAACCTACACACCAGACACCATGTATCCATTTCAGAGACAAGGCAGTCTGCTGCAAAACAGAAGTTCTGCCCAGCATGAGAACAGATACAGATTTAAAAGGAAGAGCAGCAAAGAGAAGGGAAACAACCATGGATTACAGTAAGGCACACATTACACTATTGTTTTATGTTAAAAAGTCTGAGGGTTTAATGTCACTTTAAGTGCTTGTTTGTTTTTTTTTCTTCTAGGTGCAAAAATCAAAAAGTTATACTCACCCGAGCCGTGGAGCCGGCAAATTATCACAGTGCTTCCCTCAGCCTGTCTCCTTCTCTGCTGCAGCAATGTTAATTCCCTCAGCGTCCTCACGGCTTATACACAGTGTATAGAACGTGATGACAGTGTATAGAATGTGAGGGAGAGAGGCTCCAAGGAGCGGTCTAACTTAGTTATTTTTGCACCTGGACACAAATAAGCACTTATCCCCTTTCACTAAAAATAACATCAGCATGCAGCTCTGCATTATGGCCACTAGATGGAGCCGAGGAACATAGAAAAATCTTACTCTTCTCCTCCATCTAGGTGCGAGTGTAAAAGTCAGAGATGGCAAACGGATATCTCTAAGGAATAAAAAAAATTAGCTCTAAGGGTAAAACTCGTGCCTAACAGCCAACCTCACAGGATACTTGCCATTACCTTAACTAGCCAGAAAACCTTCTGTGCGCCTCTCTGATTTGGTTTTACTATGCTCCTGGTTCCTCTACTAACTGCCTTCTTCTGTGCAATAACAATGGCCTTACCGGTCACTGGGACAGTTGTATTGGAGAATGCTAAAAATCCTTTACATGAAATAATATGCCGTGAGGTCCTAATATGTTTCCATTTGTCGTATATTTACCTATTTCATTTTGCTTCCTGCAGGAAGGATTGGCAGACAATCCAAACGCTCATTCATTTAAGTCTTCTTCAGTAATGACATATTCCAAGACTGGAAATGAGCCAGCAAAGATTTTCCAAGCTACTAGTCAAACACGTCAAGCTCCCGGTGGTGTGAGTATTAATTAGTACATCTGTCCTTACATTTGTTTTTGGTCTATGTTTACACATTTATTGACATGTACAACAAGCTTGCTGCTTTCATTCCAGCTTGGCAAGCTTGTTATGCCATTAACATGAGATGGATTAACTTTATTTGTAAGCATTTGACACAGGAAATGTGAACATACAAATCGTATTACCTTGCCTTTATTAAAAGAAATCCCCACTTTTGTGTAAAACATACTCCAACAGTGCAGACAGTTTATATTTGGTTAATACAAATGACCTTTTATTTTTCGGTCTGCAGCCATCTGGTTTTCTTAACAGATTTCAAACGTTGTTTCCCTTTCAATGATGGTGGATGCTCTATTTACATACAGGCTCTAGGGCAGGGGTGCCCATTAGGTAGATCGTGATCTACCAGTAGCTCTCAAAGCTGATGCTGGTAAATCACGAAGGGTGTTAATGGCGGCCCCTTTATTCCATTTTGGTATATGTATTTAGCTGTGCACACATGATTACCTATTAGCCTGAGTCTGCTGAGCCCAGCTCCCTGACACCTTTCTGGTGGATTCTGGTGGTTGAAGTGCTATGTATTACATCAAAGAATATTAGTTTACACAGCCTGTTGCACTACACTGTTTGTAAAATACAGCAAGGTGAGCAAGGAGAGACAGCCAGGAAAGAGAGAGCAAGGAGAGACAGCCAGGGGAGAGAACAAGGAGAGACAGCCAGGGGAGAGAACAAGGAGAGAGAGAACAAGGAGAGACAGCCAAGAGAGGGAAGAGAGAGAGAGAGGAGAGACAGCCAGGGGAGAGAACAAGGAGAGACAGCCAACAGAGGGAAGAGAGACAGCCAGGAGAGAAAATGAGGAATGACCGCCAGGAGAGAGAGGAGAGACAGCCAGGAGAGCGAGGAGAGACAGCCAGGAGAGAGAGAGAGAGAGAGCGAGGGAGGTTTTTTTTTTCGTTGGTAGATCTCATGTAGCTCGTCGTTTGAAAAGTAGATCTTAACACAAAAAATTGTGGGCACCCCTGCTGTAGGGCCTCTATAGAGTCCCCACATTAAAAAAGGGGGTATAGAGAGCTGGAAGAAACCATTATGCATTGCACTTTTGGGGTCTGGGAGCTCCTGGGACACATTTCAGAGGTATCTGCAGGTGCTTCAATTCACCTGACTGCTTTTAGGCTTTTGTGTCATGTCATGTAAAGTGGTTTTATACTAATATTCTTTCTTTATGCGTCATGAACATGAAATATTGCATTTAAATATTCTATATCTCAAGTCACGGCAACCTTTAAAGGAGAACTATGAAGTGAGTGATTTCCACTCATCCTCATAGTTGGAGCTGATGTGGGACAATGAAACTGTCACACGTCGGCTCAATAGATCGGGAAGTTAGCGAACACATACCAGCGCTCGCTCACTTCTGGATCTTCTCCCTGCAGGGAGCCATGACTGTCACTTACGGCTCCCTGCAGGGATTCCCCCCCTCCCCTCTCTAATCCTCCATCGCTGACTGGAGGAATGGACGGCGGAGGGGGCGGGCACAGCAAGCTCTGCCTCTAGATAGGCAGAGCCAGCTGTCACTCACGCAGCTGGGTGGATCTCGACAGTACTGTCGGGATCCATCCCGGCTGCGACGGTCTCGGTATATAGTGAGCTGTAGCTCGCGATATACTGAGCTTTGGGTGACGGGAGGACGCTAGTATATGTCCTCCTGTGATCCTTAGGAGAACTATGGGGAAAAACCCCATAGTTCTCCTTTTAAAAGTATGCAAAATCTCGAGGCACCCCAGTCCAAAATGTCAGATTTTAAAGGGGGACCCTATGCAAAAACACAGAAAAAAGTTTATTTCCCCCTTCACATCAAAGTGCCCCTTCAAATAAAGATTCCTCCCTTCACATAAGTCATCCTTTGCATTAGTAGCCCCCCATTTCACATCAGAAGCCTCTCTTTCATATCAAGGCCCCCCTTTCACACCACAGTTCCCCTTTACATCAGGAGCCCCCTGTACTTCAGTCTTCATTTCCCCCTTCAAATCATAGTCCCACTATCACAACATTTTGAGGCATCACTGAGGAAGCCAGAAGGCACGCCAGGGTGCCATGGCACCTTGGTTGAGAAATGCTATTCTGTATATAGCCAGCAGATGGAGCTCTTGCTCATGTTTTACTGGTTCTCCATATCTGCTTTGCTGAAAAAATAGCATGTTTACAGAGCTCAGAAGCTCAAGCTGTAAAGTTTGTAGTAGTCAGGAGACATTGCAGTGCACACCATTATTGTGTGAATGTTGCCACCTAGGGATGTGATTGATCAGCTTCAGCATTGTCCAGCCTGTGGAGCATTCAAGGGCAGTTCCTAGTACCAACCCTAGTAAATGGGAAAAACTGTGACAGGTACACTCAAATTCTGTATACTAGGAGTATAAATGCAGAAACGTGTGAGATTGATTTAGTTGCACTCTAACTCTGAAAACAGTTTTTGCTGCCATTGGAGAATGCATAGACAAGGTTGTGACAACCCTTTCTGAACGGGAATCATAGTGGATGGTTGAAGGTGGGATTATTATTTGGACTGTTTATGTGGGGATTATGCCAAAGTTTACAGCAATTATTTTTTCTATTTAGATTAAGGAAACTAAGAAATCCGTCCGGGATTCTACAACCGGAATGCAAGAAATGGCTGTCGGCCATCACATCAAAGATCGGGCCCATATTGTCAAACAATTGGAGAACAACAAGACCGGGGATCGTGAATTTAACCAAGAGTTTTTAAATATGGACGAATGTGAGTGGCAGTAATAATCTGTGATGGTGTTTCATAAGCCACCAGCATTTTATAATAACAATAGTCTTAATTCACTGACATCTAACACGTGTTAGTGTCCATAACTATCATTTGTAGCCCTCAATGGCTCCTCTCACTGCCAAAACAGCCATCTTGGGAAATACAAATCCTGACAGCTTAGTCAGTGGAGTTTCTTCTTTCACATTGTTTTCAATTGTATATTACTTTGTAAATGACATTTTATGGCAAAACAATATTATATTAAATCCTATTTTAAACTGATCCACAGCAAACGGGCCAACCTTGTGTACTGAACTAGCAGTTATAATGTTGTCATTTCACTGTCAGTACCTCTTTAATGTTGGTTTGGCTGTCTGTATTGATCAGAAATAGCCCGGCCTTAATGTGAATATTGGAATGTCTGCTTTGGACTAGTTTCATAACCTGAAATAAAGAATCTCGCCACTTCCACCACGGAAGTGCTTCATCTCATAATTCCATGATCAAAGCTTGATGAGATCTCCCGTTGCACTGTTCATCTTAATTCATTTGCAAAGACCCCGAGGAATATTATTATATATATCGGCAAATTTTCCAATTGTCCGGGGAGCTTATGCCTGCCACCCATCACATAGGAAATGACCAACAGTTACTTAGTGGATGAAAGAGGGGACAGAGTGCGACTACACATGCACGTTGCATATTTGAGTTCCCTGCGTTTCACCCCACAGTGCTATGGAAGCTACTTAAAGGTAAACAGTCAGTATGATGGCTGAGTGGTTAGCTCTTCTTTGCAGATGTGTTAAGCGTGAATTTCATCAGTGACTCTAAGTTCATGGGTTAGTTTTCACCTAAAATGATCAAATTGATGTGTTTATGGCCAACATAAATCTGAGAGTTTCATTCTGTCAGCTGCATGTCTTCGTTTGATGCGTTGTATGTGTTCTAAGATACATTTTAGGTGGGTGCAAAATAAAGGTGCAGCCTGTGCAGGAAGCTGCTAATAGCGTAAAACAGGGTCACAATAATGTAGAGTCTAAAAGGTTACTGGGTTCACCTGACTGTTCATGTATTTAATTGGAAATGATTTATATCAGGCAGCTAAATGAATAATTAGATCCCAAACACATTCAAATCCCTAAATCCATCCTTTTTAAATAGTGACAACAATGCATGTGCATCCTTCTATCGCTATACATATCAAATACTGATAGTGGGTAAAGTGGGATTATTTTACGAGTATGCATGTCTTATTCCTTCTATATTTCAGCGGAGGCACCTTCATTTAACAGTGAATGGGACAGAGAGATTTCCAGATTCAAACCCTATGAGGAGAAACTAGCCATAGCTGCTGCTAAGCCCAAACACCACAGTGCTCACTATTCTACCAAGATAGGGCTCCCGCATGTGCCCAGAAGGTAAGTCTCATACTTTATTATCAAGGTAAAAGGGCAGTAACGGTGGTACGTTACATTTTTGTCATTGGTTGCCCAGTGTAGTAGTTTTTTGGTGTTGCACAGTAGAGAACATTAGCACTTCAGTGAGACTGGTCTGAAAGTATTTTACTGTCCAATAAAATCACTGGTCCATTTAGTTCTAATTGTCTCATTCTCTTTGGAGCGTTGGTTTTACATGAAATAAATCTTTTTGTTTTGTTTTTTAATTGCAGGGAACGGTGCATCTCTAAAATGGTTATCTAGAAGGCAATTCAAATCTTTGGCTAAGAACTGAATCGGATTAATAAGAAATGATGGTCATCAAGGAGACACTAAAAAGAAATTGAGTCATCCGAGTTGTAATAGGGTCTGATAAATAAATAAGATCTGCACTTATGATCGGTTCTGCATTTTATTTGTAAAGTCTGATGAAGTCTGCAGGACACTTGTAGTACTTCTCTTACTAGTTTGGTAAACTCAGTAAACCAGTGATCATGCACTTTAGCAAACCAAGACCTATTTCCTTTATTACCAGTCATGTGATAGGAAGCATTTTATATGAAAAATGAAGCTGATCCTATATTATTTTTCAAATTAAAGGTTTCTATAATTCTGCAACTTAGTAAAAATATACTAATGGTAAACATAAGCAAAATATACCGAAGCATTGTAATATGCTGAAGCAGAAATAAATGTGCTTACCCTGTGTACCTGTCTATTATGTGTCAATTCGATTTTCATAAGACTGTAGATTTATATGATGGACCTAATATATTAACCTATCACAAGGCTGGCCAACTTAAACTGTGTATACAGTGCGTATAAAAGGTATTCACCCCTTGGAAGTTTTCATCTTTTATTGTACCTGAATCACAGTTGTTTGTTTTTTCTGTAACAAAAATACTTTACCATGTAGAAGTTGAAAACAGATCTCTGCAAAGTCATTTATATACATTACAGTGAAAAAACAACAAAGTAATTGATTGTTCTCCCATTTAACATGACACGCCATTATCACCCATCACACGTTCAGCCATCTCATTTCCAGAGTCACATGATTCATGAACTAGAGATTACCGGTGATTATTGAAGTGATTTGGGTATACATGCATTTATCTAGAAGGTTCACTTTTTGATGGGTCAGTATCATGGCATAACCTTTACCATGGAGACAAAATAACACTTCAAACAACTCTGTGAAAAGGGGATTTAAGAGCAAAATTTAGGGGATGGATAGCATGACAGATTTCAGTTTTGTGAATATCTCTTGGAGTACAATGATTCAGAAATGGAAAGGGTAAAGCAAAGTTATAAAGCGGTGAAAAAGAGGTCTCCTACCAAAAACTGAGTGACTGTGTAAGAATGAGACTGTTGAGAAAGGCCATCAAGAGATCGCTTGCCACCCTGTAGGAGTTACAGGCCTTAGGGATGGAGATTTGAGAGACTATGGATGCAGACAACAATTGTTACCTGGGTGCTTATCCAGTTGTAGCTTTATGGCACAGTGGTAAAAGAAAACCACTGTTTACCAAAATGCACATGACATCTCGCCTGCAGTCTGCCAGAAGGCACCTGGGAGATGCTGAAGTCAGCTGGAAGAAGGGTCTATGGTCTTATGAGACCAAAATTGAGTTAATGGCTAATTAGACCAAACACTGCACTTCATCATATATGTACCACCTCTACTGTGAAGCATGTGGTGGCACCATTACACTGTGGGGATGTTTTTCTGCAGCAGGCCCTGAGAGGCTTGTGAGGGTGGAACGTAAAAAGAATGAAGCAAAATACAGGGAAGGGAATTTATCAAAACTGGAGCAGAGAAAATGTGGAGCAGCTGTGCATATCAGCCAATCGGCTTCTCTCTCATTTTCAAAACTTAATTGAACAAACTAAAGAGAGAAGCTGATTGGTTGCCATGCACAGCTGCTCCAGATTTTGTCTGCTCCGTTTTTGATCAATTCCCCCCAGAGAATTTCTGGATGAAAACTTGAGGCAGCCTGCAAGAAACTTCGGGTTGCATCTAAATTTGTCTTTTATCAAAATATATTGAGTTGGTTTACTGAAGGCAAATCGGCTTTTCACTTTCCAAGGGGATTTTCCCTTAGCTTAGTGAATGTGGTGACAATTCACTTTGGAAAGAATACTCATCTTATGTAAGGAAAATTAAATAAACAGAATATTTGCTCTCACACACTTGAGGATGGGTGATGGAAGTCAGCAGAGCTTCACCTCACTCACTAAGCTCAGGGGCAATTCCCCTGCAAAGTGAACAGCCTGTTTGCCTTTTAGTAAATCAATGCCAATGACTCTGAGCATAAAAATGTAATTGCATAAGGTTGGCATGCAAACAGCAATGGTCATGTCCTGGAATGGCCAAGTCAGAGTCCCGATCTGCGTGTGATAGGGAATATGTGGCTGAACTTGGAAAAGGCTGTTTAGTCACAAAATACTGACTTAAAGGGGGTGTTGGTTATTTTGTGTTTTTTCCTTGTAATTCATTGAAATCACTTTGCAGAGATGTTTTTTTAATGAGTTGACTGTAATTTAGTGTTCTATGACAATGAAAGGTGAATACTTTTTATAGGCACTGGATGATAAAAACACATCAGCAGAGGTTACTTTCTGTAAGCAGATTACTGGATCCAAAGATATGGGCAGCTGGAATGACATGACATCTTTACCTTTCCTGGGAAATGAAACCTAACCTGGCCCCCTTCTCACCTTTTACTGGCCCTTTAATGTCCTTCTTGGCCAACAGGGAAGATCAAAAGGTGCAATGGATCTAGCTTGACTTTTACAAAAAAAATTAAAAATAAAGGATTAGCATATTAGTCTAGCTGACTGTATATTAGTATCTCCTGAATATTTCTCCATACACTTAGGGGTGTATTTATGAACAATTATTGAGCCATTCGTCCTGCACAACTGTATGTATATTCATTCTGTGTAAATGAATGCTTTTAGTATATTTCCAGGTCAAATGTAATATCAGATAAATACCACATGATGGCCACTAGATGGAGCTGAGAAGCATAGGGCACCTATTTATTGTGTATGCTCCTCATCTAGTGGCCATCATGAGGTATTTATTGATATTACAATCGACCTGGAAAGAAAATATACTAATAACATGAATTGTTGCCCCCATTCGCACAGAACTGATGTACATGCAATTTCTCAGGATGCATGGCTCTAAGAATTTTTTACAAATATGCCGCTATGTATTTTTAAGATTTGTGACCGGTATGTTTTACGTTAATGCAATCTAATTATAAACAGGTAACTAAAACCAGTTTTCCTCTGTGTTTTATCAGAACTAGAAGCTAGTTATATCGTATGCTTAATAGAGCATTACCTTATATTCTGTAAGGTTTGCAAAATCCACATGCTTCTTACTCCCTGATTCTCAAAACTGGTGGGCCATTGTGAATTAGGGAAGGAGTGTAATTGGGGGGGTGGGGGAGGGGGTATTTGCCAAAGGGCCAGTAATAATATCTGTTGGGCTGTTGGCCCTCAGTGGTAATACATTACTATTCAGCCATTGGTCAGAGAAAGAACTGCAGTCACATGCTACCAGGTTCAGACCTTGGTCACAGATCTGCCACAGTGAAGCCTTCCAGTACTGACTTCCTTTTAGGCTCTTAGAAGTCATGTGAGCTGATTCCATTAGCCATAAAGGAAGCTGGAAGATGTGAAAATATGTATCACAAATAACTGTTCTTTTAGGAACAGCCACTTTTTACCAGGCCCAACAATCACTGTGACACCATGGCACACTTTGTGGGGAACACGTTCTTTAGCCAACATAAATCTTTCCCTGCTATGAAAGTGCTAGTTGGTTGGGTTTACCCCCAAGGCCAAAGCTTCCCCAACCCTCCACTCTTGTGAACCCTGATATGTACGTTAGAAAACAAACAAAATTGTTGTTTCAAATCCATAAAAAAAAATTAAAGGAGAATTATGAGGCGAGTGATTTTCACTCAGCCTCATAATCTGAGCCGACCTGTGACAATGAAACTGGCGGCGCACGCTCACTTCTCGATCCTATGCCGGCAGAGAGCCATGACAGGGGAGGGACTGGATTCCCCCATCCTCCAGCGCTGACTGGCGGAGCGGACGGGGGAGGGGCGGGTACAGCTGGCTCTGCCTCTAGATAGGCAGAGCCCGCTGTCACACATGCAGCTGGGTGGATCCAGACACAATTGTCGGGATCCGTTTCAGCTGCGGCGTCTCAGTATACCGCGAGCTACAGCTTAGCTTAGGGTGATGGGAGGATGCTAGTTTGTGTCCTCCCGTTACCCTAAGGAGAACTATGGGGAAAAGCCCTAACCCCATAGTTCACCTTTAAGTTATTCAACAAAATAACTATTGACTACCATCTGGCCAATATAGATGTTATAATGACATATATGGTAACTGGATAGAAGTATAATGATCTCTGATATTTATGGCATTCTATACGTCATACTGTTCAGTTTTTGCTGAAACCAAAATGTAAACATTACAGTTTGACCATAACTCAAGGGAAATCCTTTCTTTACAATAAATAAACGCTGATCATTGGAAACATCATTGTAGTGGTCAGAAATGTGATCAGATTTACTTTAAAGTGATTTATTTTTATGCTTTTTCTTTCTTTTGTTTTCTAGTCGTATCTTACTGTTCATTTTGTAATAGTGTATAATTCTTTAAACATCCAAATAACTAGCCAGCAAGTAAATGAACTGCTTTGTAATTACAAAAAGCTGTATGTAATTTCATAAACATTTTTACAGAAACTCCCAAAAATTTCTTAAAATGAAAATATGTAAATGATCATTTTTTTTTCTTGGCTATACAACTGTAATGTTTCAAAATAAATTTGATTATAAACATTTTGATTTTTTTTTAACTTCTTTATTTTAATATTGCTTATAAACAACAGTAGCGCAGACTTCCTGTCATTGCCTTGTAGTAACATTGCACTTGTGATAATCTGATAAGATTTAAAACATACTGGCACTGGATGCATGACCTAAGAGCCTTCACAATAACCCTTTCTGTATGCGTTCCTCTATCATGTTCTATGGAAACACACTTTGGCTCAACCCAAAGCAAATAACTTTATATAGACACAAGTAGGTTGAATTTCATGCCTTGATCATGTAATTATTCTTATTTAGGCCTTGTTCACATGAACCTTTGCTTTTAAACAGAAGGGTGGTGTGTACAGCAAGCTTACAAGCCAGCTTCCAGACACGTTTTTGCAGCCTTTGAAGGATGCTTTAAAACATAACTCCAGACATACATTTCATAAAAGGTGTTCCAGACAATATAAAAAAATAAGGCTGCAAGACTCAGCTTTTTTCTGGCGGTGTCCCCTGCAGTAATTCCATTCCTCTACTAGGGTTCCTAGGTCTAAGGGTTGATTAATGCTCAAAATACACCTTTTACATGCCTGTAATTAATTATAAATCTAAGACTCTACAGGTCATCGCCACCAAATACTAATATTTCAATTGTTTTTAGCTGCAGGCAAGCTAACATACATGCAGATGTCAGATATTGCCAAACTGCTACTACACTCAATAAACCAAATAGTGCTGCCAATGTCCCTGCTTAATTCAAATATAAAACCAGCAAATAATGAAAAATAGCACAGTAT